TATTACTAGACCCGATATTTTAGCTTCCCTCTTCCCACTTGCATTCTGATCTTAAGTATAGCTACCAGGAGCTGTCTGTGGTAGGCAAAAGCATGGTCTGCTCCTTGTTTCATGCCATATGTGCCACTGATGGCTGTGTGTGTGTGTGTGTGTGTGTGTGTGTGTGTGTGTGTGTGTGTGTGTATGGAGGGGTAGAGATATAAGTCTGCTTTGGTGTCTCCTGACACTCAGATAAGAATGATGGCAGTAGTCTCACTCTTGTCTTGGCTACTTCTCTCTCCAATGCTGACAAATTAAGTCTGTTTACATCTGTGTGATCTGGTTGCCCAATGAGGATGATATATAGGTTTTGGTTTCCTGTGACTTCTGAGAATTGTCAAACATGGCAGGCAGCATTTTCTTTGTTCTAAAACTTGGCGAATGGCTCTCTGAATGTGAAGTCAGTGATCAATGCTCAAACTCCACAAGTAAGTCTTTTGGGGCACTCCAAATTTGGAGGGATGCTAAGAAAAGCCCCTCTTTCCCTAAACACACCTAAAAAAGATGGATGGGGATGTGATAGGTAGCATTTACATGGACTCTGCTCTCTCCAAAAGCCAATATTCCCTGCCTCCCTCACAAGGTTTTTTTTTTTTTTTTTTTTTTTTTAATGGACTAAGTGGGTGGAACTGGTTGGTGGAGAAGATTCTGCTGGAATTCCCACTCTGTGAAGCTGAGGCAATTCTCTGCACCTAAGAGGAGAAGTGGGGTGTGACTTTGGACTCAGGTGTGAGTCCAAATCCTGGTCAAAGACCTCCTTGGGAAGAGGTCTTACTAATTGAATTCCAGCAAATTCATAGCTAGCCAATTCATACTCTACATTTTACAATGTTTGTTAAGAATGAACTTAGAAACCCTTTATTTTGACTTCAATTTTTAACTTTAAAAAGCATTTTATAAAACTGTATAGTACAATTTCCCCCCCAATTAAATCTTTATTGTTGAAAGGGGTCAATGGGAATAAAAGGGAAAATATGACTTTAATTTTTGACTGTCCGAATCATCTCTTAATACTTTCTACATTTAGCCTATCAAGTTATCCAAAGGGAAAAAATTTCCAGTATCACATAAATGTCCAGTACGAATAATATTTTATTCTCACTTGAAATAACTTAAACCATCCTATATAATAAAAGCCTAACATGCAAATTGACTGAATGGCAGACCGACTGGTCGCTATGATGAACACTGACCACCAGGAGACAGACGCTCAATGCAGGAGCTGCCCCCAGTGCGCAGGCCCCAGGCCAGACAAGGTGGGTGCCAGTGGGAGCCCCCCAATTGCCCTGCTGGTTGCCCTACAGATCTACCCTGATTGCTAGCAAGGCCCAGGGACTGTACCCATGCATGAATTTCATGCACCGGGCCTCTAGTGATTTAGTAACTAATGATTGTGTAGCCCTTTATAGTTTACAAAGAACTCTCACATAGACCCCACAACAAACCCTTGATATTTGCTCAACATATACTTTTACTTTTAGTTTAACTGTTATTATTTCCCCATTTCATGGGTGTGGTCAGTAATGCATGGTGAGGCCAGTGACCTAACCTATCAGGACTAGGGCTTTAACTTAGGTTGTAAAATAGAATTTCTGGGTCTTTTCCACTATGTTTGTTCCTCTATGCACCTCTACAAGTTCTGTTCTTCCCTAGTAGATATGATGTGTTCTCAGCATGAAATGTCTCATGAGTTAATTCTCCGAGAGTGAAACCTGGACACATGTGTGGGCACCTTACTCCATCACCCTCTCCTTCTTGTGACAAAAAAACATGAGTTCAAATCCCTGGCCAGGATCAGCAGGCACAGCTGGCACATCTCTAGGACCTTGGGCCACAGTCCAAAGCACAACTTGTGGGAAGGAAAGTTAAAAAAAAAGCCAAGCATATGAAAGACTTAAGTCCAAGTTCCCTCTGGATCCCAATTCCCTGGGTACTTTAAAATGAAAGCTTTGTGTGGTCCTGAATTTATTTGTATCTAACATAAGAGCTAATATCTGTGAAGCCTCTAAAGATATAAAAACATTTATTCATCCAGCAAGAATGAGTTTTCCTGCCAATAACACTACCATCAAGTGAAGTAATAGCCACGTTTTGCCACCCACAGGGGTCATTATGACTTCTAGAAGTATCACAGGAGAGCACTGGGCAAGGAAGCTGGAGCTCAAAAGTGGCACATATATGCCCATTGTTACCATAGTTACGACGAGAAAGGCCATCAGAGCGGTACTTTCCACTATAAGCAGTGAGATTAGCCTTGGGTGGTTTAGAATCATTGGGGTGAATAATCCTAGTTCTAGCCACAGGGATTCTTCATGGTTGCCATGAGTTTCATCATGTAACAGGGAGCAGAAGGAGGGATAAATGATTTCTTTTTGCTCAATGAAGTTGTTACTGATGTTCTATCAGTTAACCTTTGCTTTCAGAAGGTGCAAAAACTTGCAAAGTCTTCAAATTATTCACCCCCCTGCCAGCAAATTGTTGGAATTAATGGCCATGGTTAGTTTGGGTATAACACACTAGAGGGTGATCAAAGGGGGAGAATGTCTCTCTCGTTCCTGAATTTCAGGGTAGCGCTAGGGAGATCATAGCGAATGAGATCCCCCCAGGACATACCCACAGCGCTTGTTACCTCCCAAAGCAGGCTTTCTAAGCATGATGAAGTCCGTTCCAACTAGCCTTCCAATGTTTGCATCTCCTCCATAGCACCACTCCCTGCCAGAGTGGATTGCAGTCTCTACTATAATGACAACTTCATTAGTGACACACTCATTACAATTTAAGGCAGGTGATTTCATAACAAATAAGAACCAACACTTATTATGGGTTACTCTATGTGAGACACTGTAAGTGCCCTGTAATTTCATTTCTGCCTCAGAATGACCGGGGAAGGTACATAACTATTATCATCATCTCCATTTCACAGGTAAGGAAACTAGGGTAGTTTGTAAAGAAACTCATTTAAGTCACACAGCTATGACATATTCGTCAGGACCCAGAGATACGTGACCCTAAAACCTGAGATAGTGGACATCCTCTGAAAGTGTGACATCCTGATTTCTTCACTTGGAGATGACATCTGTCTCCTTGTATTTCCATCCACTGGTCCTTGTTCTACCTTCTCAAGGCCATGGAAAAGTCTTCATTCCTCTGCCACTCCTAGCTCTTCAGCTTGCTAACATGGCTTTCAGGACCTTTTGTGTTCTGTTCAGACCACCTGGTGCTGTTTTCAGATGTCCATTTTCCAGCCTGTTCTAAACCATGTGTGTGTCCTGCTTGGCTTATTACATCAGCTTTCTAACGAGTCTCCCTGCTCTGTCTTCTGCCATACACTCAGGAGCCATTGGAGGTCTTCAAATATGTCAGATCACTTTAGTATTCAGCTTAAAACACTGGTGCTTCTCATATCATTCAAAGTAAAAATAATATATTTATAGCCAACTTTGAGATAATACCCAGGATATGGTCTGCACACTTAACTGTCCTGCTTTCTGGTCCCTGAACATGCCAATCATATTCCCAACTCCTCTCCCTGAAGGCTCTGTCTAAACATCCACTGGCTTCTTTCCCAACTCTCTTCCTGTCTCCCTTCCAAAGTCACCTTCTGAGGGAGGCCTTCCCCAACGACTCTACAGGAAACCTGTCGCCTCACTGCTGTTCCCGCTCTTCCCTCCTTTCTGTATTTCGCTCCATAGCACTTCTCACCATCTGGCTTGTTTCTTTTACATTCTCCTTTGATATTTGCTTGCTCTCTCCCTTTCCCCCCTATAAGAAATCAAGCTCTGTGAGGGTAGAATGTACCATGTTTTATCTTCTAAGTTTGGTTCTAAGGTTAAATCATGTGAAACTGGCCCACAAAATTACTACTACAGCATATGGGTCAACCTACCATGCCCCCAGCACTGAGAGCAGCCCCTGGTGCAGAGTAGCATTTAGTAGGTAGTTGGTGAAAAATAAATAAGTTATTCATTTACTGATACTAAAAATATTGTTAAGAGCGTTTATGTACTTTATTATCTCTGGCAAGGACTTAATCAACTGGTCAGGTTTCTAGTGTCATCCCTGTCATCTTGATCCTCTGTGGAGTTGAATACAGGGATATGCAAATAAATATTAGAAGCACTTGTGTTGATACACTGAGACAAGCTTTTAATTGCAAGACTTGGTATTTCCTTCATAGAATTCAATAGTAATTTTGCCCTTCAACTGTCAGAATCAAAGCTTCCTGTGTTGCAAGTTGATGGCAACTTTCCCATCAACTGGTAGGATTTGTTTGGATTCAAGATAAAGTGCTTTAGACAGTTTCTGCACAGTCACCTGCCAGAGACTGACCTTCTGATCTTACTACCCTATGTTTACACAGAGGAGTAAGTATTGTTCAAAAAATGATAATGAATTAATAATAATGTTCTACTCGAATCTGTAGCGTATAATGAACGTCTGGCTGGAAATCTCTGCATAATCAACTTTTTTTTTTTTTTTTTTTTTTTTTTTTTTTTTTTTTTAAACAGAGCATCATCTCCTGTTGGCAGATCTGACGTAGCCTATTTGGTTTACTTGTACATTTCAACAAATGTGCTTAAAGAATGCCAGGAATTATAATGTGGAGACATAGAGATGCCATGATTAAATACAACATAAGAATATATGGGACTATTATTGTAGGACTGATACAGTTATCCCTATTGCTGATCACCCGCATGGCTGAACCTTTTGTCAAGCTCAAGTCATCCCTCCCATTCCCAGTTCAGATTATTCACCGTTAATGTGCAGTCCCTCTTACGGAAAGCTGAGGGTTTCCTTCTCAAACACTGAGGTCAAGAAGACAGCTTGAAATTTTTAAATAGAAACAGAAAAGCAAGTATCCCCACCCTTTTTTAAAGCCCCTTAAGAATCACAAGTCAGCAAAGAATTCTCACATGCATCCACAATCTCATATAAAGCATTAGTTTTTTTATACCCACAACAAAACATGGACCTGCAGAAGTTTTCAAACAATCCTCCAGCAGCTTCATGCGGGCCTTCTGGAGCTCGGGGCTGTCCCACTCGTCTTCGTCCACGCCCCAGTACAGATCTATGACCTGGGGACCAACAGAGGAGGCAGCATTAATTCACCTGGGGGAACCTTATTTACCTGCGGGCTTTATTCTCATGCGCAGTGTTAAGCTAACACGACTTTTAACTTTTCTTCTTGCAGCATTTTTTCCCCTGAGAGAAGGAAAATGATTTTTAAGATCCATTTTTTTAATCCCATGATGGGTTTGGGGTGAACATGACCATTTCTTATGTTCTGATTACACTGTTAACATGGGCCCCGAGAAAATTAAATGTTATATGTCAGTGAAGGCTTTCATCATATTGAAATGGGAACAGGACTTCAAAAAATGTTTGAAAGCAGCTGGAATATGGTTATACATTATCTGAGACAATTAAGTAACAAAGTATGCTACTGAATGTCTTTTAATGTGAGAAGGGAAAACCACAATGTGCATCAATATATATATATATATATATATACACACACACACACACACACACATACATATATACACACACATACACACACACACACATACACACACACACACACACACACACACACACACACATATATATATATATATATATATATATATATATATATTTATACTGACCTGAAGTTAAACATCTACATTTCTTTGTTTTCTTTTCTTACTTTCTTATTTTTAAAAAAAGAACCTGTTATTATTATGGTTGATCACATAGGGACAAACATTTTGTTTACATCTGTGTTATCTATGAGCAACCTTGCTTTCATCAATACATACCTGAAAACCATGTGTTGGGAAGCAATGAAAGGTATGGCTTACTAAGAAGGGAGGATAATAGGAGCTTCTATCTCCTCACTTCAAAGGCTACAGGGAAGATTCTGAGAGTCTGTAAGAACTTTTGCAAGTACACGCTTTGAAAAATTCACTACGGAGAGCAGTATGGGTTTTACTCCCTTTACTCAACTGCTATCTGCATAAGGTAAATGTTTCCAGTCGTAGCTTTGAAGAGTTCTTCTTTTCCTTCCCTTTTTCACACAGCAGAAAAAGACCCTCCCCTCCTTACTGGTTGTTTGTGTGGCATTCAATGAGATGGAAGCACTCCAAGGAGAAGCCGGGGATTTTGTGTGCTTCCCGGCCATGGCCCCACACAGGTGTTTTTATCTACCTGCATTTAAGGTTTTAGAGATTGAACAGCTTCTTTAAAAAACATCCCCCCAGCCCAGTCCATGAATTTCACAATTTATGAAACTATCAGCTGACTTTGGGTTCTTCCCTTTAATCTACCTTAGAAGATTTAATCACAATATTAAGGAAGGATACATCTGGAATTTTGCCATCACTGTCCAATATGAGAGCCTTTAGCTGTGCTATTTAAAATTCAATATAAATTAATTAAAAATTCAGTCTTCAAATGCTCAATAGTAACATGTGGCTATTGACTACCATGCTGGAAGGCAGAGATATGGAATACTTTACCATCATATAAAGTTTAATTGGACTGAACTGTAAATTACTGAGATTCATATACTGAAATAATTAGAACAAGATATTTCGGCCATCGGCCATCGGCCATCTGCCATCTACCAAAGTAAACACACGCTAACTGCAATGCAAATGGTAACTCTTAGTTGTGCCATGCATGAGCGAACAACTATACATAGAGCCTGGTCTCCATCCTTTTGGCTGACACTGTTTGAATATATCTGAGGAAAAGTCTGATTTAGAACAAATGAAGAGAAACAAAAATGTATTTATGAATTTGGAAATATGTAAATATGAAGATTAATAGAACAAAAGATATATATATATATATACCTATTCTCTCACCTTCTTTTAATGACAAAATTATTGAATATATAAAGTAATAATTATAACAGTATGTCAGTGGGTTTGTAACATATATAGATGTCACATATGTAACAAGAGTACAAAAGGGAATGGAGTTACATAGAAATAATCTTTCTATAGCTCACTGGAATTAACTTAGCATAAATTACAAGTAGATTCTGATAAGATGTAAAATAACTACAAAGAAAAGAATTAAAAAAAAGTGAAAAAAATCATCAAAGGAATTAAAATGTTACACCAGAAAATATTCACTTAGTACAAAGCAAAGAAGTAAAGGAGGAACACAAAAGATATGAAACATAGAAAAAAAAAGTCAAATGGCAAATGTAAATCCAACCAACTACACCAATAATACAATTAAGCATGATTGGATTAAACCATCATGTCAAAGGCAGACCATGTAAAAACAAGACCCCCCTATATGTAATCTAAAGGAGACAGACTTAGCTCAAATAGGCTGAAAGTAAAAGGGTAGAAAAGGATACACCATACAGCAACCATAAGAAACCACATGTCTATACTAATATCAAACAAAAGAGATAGCAATAACGAGGGCCATTTTATGATAAAAGTGTCAATCCATCAGAAGGTATAACAATTATAAATGTATTTGCTACTAACAATAAAGCATTAATATACATGAAGCACAAACTGCCATAAATGATGGGAGAAACATACATTTCAATTATCACAGCTGGAAACTTGAATATCTCACATTCAATAATGGCAATAACAACTAGGAAGAAGGTCAACAAAACTAGAGGAGTGGAATAATACTATAATCTAACATTTCCAGAGAACAATGTACCCAACAACAACAGAATATACATTGTTCTTAAGTACACACAAGACAGTCTCCAGGATAGAACACAAAATAAATCATAAAACAAGGCCCTATAAACTTCATCAGATTTAAATTATATAAAGAAATGTTCTCTGAATATAATTCAGTGATGTTAGAAATCAATAATAGAAAGAAATTTGGAAAATTCACAAATATATAGAAAATAACACAATCTTAAATAACCTATGAATCAAAAAATAAATCACATGGGTTTCAGTTAAAGCAGCATTTAAAAGGAAATGTATAGCTGTAAACACCTATATTTAAAAAGACCTCAAATCATTAATCTAACTTTTTACCTTAAGATAGCAGAAAGCAAGCAGAAGGAAAGAAATCATAGAGTACAATGAAAATTAATGAAACAATTGAGAAAATCAATGAAACCAAATAAAACAATTGAGAAAATCAATGAAACCAAAAGTTGGTTCTTTGAGACCAACAAAATAGACAAAACTTTAGCTGGGTTGACCAAAAACAAAACAGAAACTAACAAAAAAACAAGAGCCAGGAGACTCAAAAATTACTAACATCAGCAGTGAAAGGGAGGCCATTGCTGTTGAGTTCGCAGGAGAAAAAATTAAATAATACTATGAACAACTGTATGCCAATGTATAAAACTGGCAAATTTCTAGAGAGACACAGTTACATAAATTGACTCTGGACAAAATAGAAAATGTGAAGACATTTTTAATGAGATTAAATAGTAATTTTTAAAAACTGCACAAGAAATAAAGCTTAGTTCCATGTAGATGTGCTGCGAAAATTTGCCAAACTTATAAAAAAGAATTAATACCAATTCTTCACAGCATCCCCCAAATTAGAAGAGAACACTTTCCAATGTATTCTATGATACCAAGGTCAGATAAGTAAACCAGGAAACTATAGAGCTATATCACTTATGAATATAAAACAAATATCCTCAACAAAAATACCAGAAAACCTATTCAGCAACATATATAAAGGATTATACAACACAACTATGTGGAATTGAACTCAGCAATGCAAGGTTGATTTACCATCAGAAAATCAACTAATATACTACACTATATATTAATAGAATAATGGACAAAAGCCATATGAGCAATCTCAATAGACAGAAACATCTGATAAAATCCAACACCCCTTGATGATAAAAACATTCAAAATTGGGAATAGAAATTAACTTCATAAGCCTAAATAAAAGGCATGCATGAAAAAAACTACACCTAATATAACGTTTAAGACAAAGCTTTCTCCGTAAGATTAGGAATGTGAGAAGGATGTCTATTCTCAGTGCTTTTTATTCAATACTGTACTTAAGGTTCCAGCTAGGGCAATTAGGTAGAAAAAAGAAATAAAATACATCAGATAGGAAAGGAAGAAGTAGATTTATCTTTATTCAAAGATGACATGATTTTGTGGTTAACCCTTGAAAAACATGGAAGTTAGAGGTGCTGAACCCTATGCAGTAAAAAATCTGAATGTAACTTTTGAGTCCCCCCAAAATTAACTACTAATAGCCTACTGTTGACCAGAAGCCTTACTGATAACACACTACTGATTAACACATTTTGTATGTGTTTTATATACTGTACCCTTACAATGAAGCTAAAGAAAACAAAATGTTAAGAAAATCATAAGGGAGAAAAAATGCATTTACAGTATTTATTGAAAAAAAAAATCCACGTGTAATAGTACCCACAAGTTCAAACTCATGTAGTTCAAAGGTCAACTGCATATGGAAAATCCTAAGGAAACCATTAAATATCTGTAGAAACTAGTGAGTTGAACAAGGTTATAGGATATAAGATCAATATACAAAAACCAGTTGTACTTCTATACAATAGCAATGAGCAATCAAAGGTGAAATTAAAAAATTTAAATTCCATTTAAAAGCACATCAGAAAGAACAAAAAAATTAGTTTAGGAAATGTAAAATTTATACTCTAAAAATTACAAAACACAAAGAAGATCTGAATAAACTAAAAAACATGTCTTGTGAATGAATTGGGAGACAATGTGTTAAGTTGACAAAATTTATCTGCAGACGAAGGGCAATCATTATGAAACTCTTAGCTGACATTTATAGAAATTGACAAGCTGATCCCAAAATTCATATGGAAATTCAAGAGACCCAGAATAGCCAAAATAATCTTTTGTAAAAGAATAATAAAGTTGAAGGACTCGAGCTTCCAGATTTCAAACTTACTATAAAGCTACAATAATTAAGACAGGGTAGTATTAGCATTAGGATATCTAATAGAATAAAATTGAGAATTCAGAAATAAATCATCACACTTAGGGCCAATTTATTTCAACAAAGGTGCCAAAACAATTCAAGGAGGAATAGTTTTTTTCAACAAATGGTACTGGGGCAACC